TAAAAACATATTCGTATCTGGATGTGATAATTTTAAAGAACAATCACTTAAACGGCATCTTGATACTAAAGATCATCAAAAAACTTTAAAAGCACGACCTAAAATACAATTAAGCATAGTTGCTAGTTTTACAAAACAACTTGGAATTGACAAACTTCATGTTATACGCAATATGATTAATATGTATTGGTTAATTCAACATAATATAGCTACACATACAATTACTGATCTTTGTAACCTTATTGATTAGCAAATTCAAAATTCTCAAGAATTATGTATACCGTCAAATATTAATATTTTAAAACTTCCTTCAGCATTACAAAACACAAATTCAACAAGAAGTAATTATGGTTCTTATAATAATAATCATGCTGGAAGAGATTTTATTGATGCAATTGGCAAAGTAATTGAGGAAGAAGTTTGTTATAAGATCCGTAAATCATCTGTGTGGAGCTTAATGATTGATGAAAGTAATACTATTACAAAAGAAAAGACTTTGGCCATTGTATCAAAACATGTTATTTTTAATATGCCAGTATATCGATTTATTAGATTAATTGAACTAAAAGATTGTAGTGCTAATGGAATTATGAAAGAATTAAATGAATTTTTTAAAATTAAAAATCTTTCAGTTTTAACATTAGGCCAGTTTGGTAGTGACGAAACATCAGTTATGTTAGGTAAATAATATTTATATTATATAAACTATTTTAGCTTATTTTTTAATACTTAAATATTTAATCTATAGGTCATCTAAATGGTATCGCAGCACAGTTAAAAAGGCAAAATCCATTTATTACAGAACACCATTGTATATCACACCGTTTAGCTCTTGCATGTGAAGATACTGCTGAATCAATTCCATATATGTATACATATAACAAAATTGTTAGAAATCTTTATACATATTTCAGTCGCTCTTATGAACGTATGGAAACTTTAAAAAATGGTAGAAAAGCAGTTAGATGATCCTGATTTATATTTGTTACGTATTGTCAAAACACGTTAGCTTTCTCTATCAAATGTTGTATCAAATTTACATCGTATATTAGATTCTGTTGTTGGTGCTTTATTCTTGGATTCAGATACAGAAAGAGTAGTACAATCATTATTAGATTTAATTGATCAAACATTTTATATAACAACAAATTTTCTGGCAGATATTCTTGGAAATTTGAAACAATTAACATTAAGTTTTCAAGCAGAACATATTTCTCTTGTAGAAATTAAAATGCAAACTACAACAGTTATTCAAACAATTGCTGAAAGTTTTATTGAAACTGAAAATTTTTTACCAACCTGGGGTTATCATTTGCGTACATATCTGCAAATCAATAATCTTACTTCAAAAGATATTTCAGATTTTATACAACAATTTGCTATTGCTACAATTGAAAATCTTAATAGACGATTTCCTGATCATGAAATTTTAAATGCTTTTAGCATTTTTGATCCACAAAATTTACTAGATAAAGAATCATTATCAGATTATGGAAATAATAAAATTTGTATTCTTGCAAAATATTATGGAACAGAAAAAACTAGCAATGGTATAGTATATAATTTTATTTAAGTTAAAAATTATTAACTTTTATTAATATAATACGTAT